TCCTGAGCAGGTTACGAGGACGACTGCTTCAAACTTGGCATGTACTATGCGGGACCTGTCTTTTGGACGGCATGAGAAGCGAAAGTTCCGAATCCATTTGCTGTTGGGTCTGTCCAGGCCAGGCTGCCATCACTGCCACGAACAGTGCAGCCAGATGTGCAGGCATGCCAGGCCACCAGCAGAATTACACATCTCTTTTTGCTATTCTTTGCTGATTGAAATCAGCAAATACTGAGCAATTCAGCGCAGACAGCAGATTCGTGGCAGGCCGAGTGCATGATGCAGATGGGCGCCTGGCCCGCATTTTCAACAAGACTCGTGCGCTGAATCTTTTTGTAGCCATGTCGGCAGGTTGTCAGTATTTTACGTTCTGGCCGGATGGTGGCTGCCTGCTTACCGGCTGGGGTGCAACGTTGAAGGCCGCCGTTGTTGATGTAGCTGTAGTGTGCGAATGATCGACGGCATAAGTCAGGACGTACGCATCTTTGCCTTGCCTTCTTCTCCAGGCGGCTCCAACCCGCTTCGCTCAGACTGTCACGGGGCCAAAGGAATGCCCCCTGACGCGTCCCACCGTCAGAGTCTCGGACCTTCCGGGCGTCTCCAGGTTGGAGCGTTTGCTTTCCTTGTAGGGCTCGGCATGAGCACGCTTGGATGCTTCCATGTGACAGCCGCTGCCAGCCAGTGGTGTCCAAGGACAGTAGAACAGCCGACCAAGCACAAACACAAGACACCCTTTTTCAACTCGCAACAAGCATGGCCTTGCATGCTCTTGACTTTCGAACTTGTTCCGAGCATCTTTCAGCAGCCACGTCACCTGTTATCAAGTCGCAGCTTCTGGTACCCTCGAGCCGCCATGAGCGAGACTGGAGTGGTGAAGTTCTTTAACTCCGTGGATAGCTACGGTTTCATCCGCCTCGGCGGGCGGCGCTGGGGCGCGGCGAAAGGATCGGACGTTTACGTGCACAGAAGCGCCATCGCAGATGGTCGGAGTTTACTGAAGGGAGACACGGTTAGCTTTGACGTCTGTACCTGAGCTGTGCTGCCGTTGTGAACACAGCGCTGTTGTTGCACTTGCTGGACTCGCTCGCCTGCGAGGTGATCGAAGAAGATGGGCGCAAGACGGCACTGCGGGTCACCGGCGGCACAGGAGGCTTGGGGCTGACGCTCGCAAGCAACGTGGACCGATCGCCGAGGAAAGCCTTGCCTCTCGGCCTGTAGGCAGTTCGCTGTAGAAAGAGTGCGTGCGTCGGTTGTGGAAGCTCAGGTTTGGCGTGGTGAAGAAGTCCTTTCCCAAGGGATATGGCTTCATTAAGCCAGATGAGGGAGGGTCTGACCTATTCTTCCACCAGAATGCCTTAGCTGAAGAAGGCGGAAGCCGAGTCTAGAGGGACACGTACTCGATGTCGTACTCGTGCTGCAGTAGCCGTAGCAGTCACTCACGAAAATGTGTGTTTGGGCTTCAGGTGAGATGCCTGCGGTCGGCTCCCGGGTATGCTACGACTGCATTTGGGACGAGAAGAGGGGCTGCCGCAAGGCATCCAACGTGGTCCCGGAGGTGCTGGAGGCCCGGGTGTCATGTTTGCAGCAAGCGCGAAGGGACATTATTCCTTCAAGACTTGGCTGAGTCAGATCATGAGCTCATGAGCGTGGGATCCGAGGGGGAGCCATGTCCCGAAATCTAGTGCATTCATACTTCCTTCCGTTGAAGCAGCCACCCTCCATCCCGTTCAATAACTGTTATCCGCTTTGCATAACGAACTTGTGAACCTCAGCATTGTAAAGCGACTTGCTTTCGCGCTCTTTCGCGGGAATGAAGTAAAGGGAGGGACCTAAGCAGCCGACCTTGGCGCGACGACTCGATAGACGCACTTGCAATATCTTGCAGTGGTGAGCCTAGTCGCAGGAAGCTGCCCATCCTCCTGAAGATGACCTAGAGATCAGTGATGCTGATGAGTGGGAGCTTGTGGCCGAGCCTTGCAGTACAACCCTTGTGCATCCTTCGAGTATGTGAGCTGAATCAGCTAGAACCTGTGCGGAGACGATGCGGCCCTTTTGTGCAGCATTTGAAAAGCGTTTCGACAATGACCCTCGCACAGCCACACAAAGGCAGTGCAAGAGGCTTAGCAGGCTTAGCATACTTCAGAAGTCGAAGTTGTCGTTGAAATCATCGGTCTGCAAAAACTTCACGCGACTTCGATGGGGTCTCTTGGTTTCACATGGCCAACCGAGACATGGCGCCCATGGGTGTGAGCATGCCCTGTACAGTGTCCAGCAGTCGGCGCAGCGTGTTAAAGACAACCTGGGAAGTCTTGCAATGTTGCGACGATCGCTACGTCACACTGCCTCTTTGAGCCTGAGGCTGTAGATGAAGGACCGGTGCTGGAAGAGTGGGACCCAAGCGTGGATGTCTTTCACTCAGAGAGAAGCTGTGCACGACACGTACTAGGACCTAGGAAATAAAGAGAAGTGTTGGATCCAGTGAGGGTGCACCTGCACCACCGACGCTGCCGCGCGATCCAGAGTTCCAGGCAGAGGGTTGCTGAAGGCTTGCCAGGCTTGAAAACCTCCGGTGCCATCCGGTGCCCCTTCGCAGATCGTGGTAGCTGGGCAGCTGCCTGGGGTCAACGGAACGCACTGTGCCGCATATCCGGCCTGCAGAGATGTGGCGGGCTGAGCACCCCCAAAAATTGTGGCGAACGAGAGCGCTTGCTTGGATCGGTGAGGTGAAGCTGAGCGGTGACTGCTGTCCCAATGCCGTCCCTAAGCTGCACTTGGCTACGAAATGACTCCTTGTCGATTCGGCTTGATTGCTATATTATGTCCAACTGTGAGACAGAGCTTGATATGCACAGATCGATTGCAACATGTTTTTCAGCTTCGTTTGCGAAAGGAAGGGGTGCTGCTGGACTGCTGCGGGACAAGCGTGACCAGTGCGGCTGCAGCAGTTGCGCCGCTGTACAAGAAATAGGCGCATTGAGGGAGCGGCTGTGGCTGGCGCTGTCCGTGTGCCGTCTCCATCCACATCGTAGAAGTTTCCCTGTCAGCCGGGGAAACGGCTCGAGTTTCAGATGCAGGCAGTACCTTCCCGTATGGGAACCGGATGCCTCCACGTTCGGATTTTGCTGCCCTTGGAGGAGTCAGGCCCGGATGTTCCGTTGCTTTACTTGCTCTAGGCACGTGCTCCTTGACACGGCTGTGGCGAAACTTTCCAGTCGAGCGAGTTGCACAGGATTGGAATACCTCTTTTGGACCCGCGGGTGGACGTTGCCAATGAAGCGGTAAGTGTTGCCAAGCGGCTTGCTTGCTGTGGCGGGCCGGACAACCGGTGAACAAGTCTGAGTGTTGGTTTTAATCCACTTGCTGCCCGTGACCACACCTTTGGTTCGTGACGAGGTATCATAGTGCTCGATCTATCTGCTTCTTACCTGTGCCCGTTCCAAGTGCCACTCAGTCATCTCGCCGTACCCTTAGTTGCGTCTCGGCAGTGGAAGCCCAAGCCTGACCAGTGGCTGACTTCGGGATTCTACCGTCATCCTTCATGAATGGGGCCTTCTCCTCATGGCCGTTGGCCTGTTCGGTCTTAAAGTCTTAAGTCGTGGCATCCTAGTTATTTCTTGCTCGTCGGTACGGTGAAGAATCCCGATGTCAGCTTTGTGTACTCTTTTTCACGGCAGACGGAAAGGAATCGTTCAATTTGTGCAGTGTGCAGATGTGCGCAGTGTCGGCGAGCGGCAGATCCTTCGGGCAGCTTTTTTCTGTCGGCTTCCCGGCTTAGCGATCCGGCCGATGCTTGACCTGCTGCCTCGAGCAATAATTGGCGCACAGGCTGGGCGCGAGCGGGTGGGTTTGCGCTTCGGTCTCTCTTCGCATCTACACTTTTGTTTTTTCTCCATTGCGAGTCCTTCACAGCTACTTGCCCTCTGGGTCAGAAGCTCACCCGGCTCGGAGCTCCTCAGAGCACAATTTTGGTGTTGCAGTCGGGTGCCCCTATGACCCGCTGATTCAGCACGATGCAAGGGGAGATGAGAGAAGGATCTTTCATCGCGTGTGGACTGTTCAACACATCTTCATGGCCACCTTTCCTGGAAGCTTGAGATGTTATTGAGTATGAGCAAGATCTTTCTGCTGCGTCGCTTGTGCGGCACATCATGCCTCTCTGGCATGAGACCAGCATGGGCATCAAGAGGATCCATGTTGGCACTTTGAGCCCAGAAGCGGCGCTGCGTTCGAACATGGGATTGACTAAGAAACGTCTGTTTGAGGCCTCGAGATGCTTCTGCGTCAGCAAAATCCCGGATCATGCGTGATGACGACATGTACGTGGTCTGGCAAGGTACGCGAATTTCTCTGCCAGAATCGCCAGTTGCAGCCTAAAGCCAGCAGTGCGAGCATAGAGGGAAGACCTGGTTCCACATACAGATATGATGATATCGGATTCTTTCCCTCCTGTGCTGAAGGCTCATACCGCAAGTGCCTGCAGAGTCGAAGCTGAAGATCTTCCGCTTACTTCGAGTGCTGCCCTGACTCGTTCAGACAAACATGGCTGCGAAGCGACACTGCAAAACTTGTCGATGTTGTTGTTGCTGCTGCTGCTCCCACTAGTCACGAGTATTTGTGCTCAGTACTGCGACGACGACGACGACTCCCGCTGCTGCTGCTGCTGCTGCTGCTGCTGCTTCTGCTGCTGCTTCTGGCTGCGGCTGCGGCTGCTGCCGGTTACAAGTATTGGTTAATTAGTCTTCAGTACTACGACGACGACTGCTGCTGCTGCTGTTGCTGCTGCTGCTGCTGATAAGCTGATAAGCTGATGATGAACACGATGGTGATAGTGGCTGTGATCCAAGGACTATGCCGTTGAAGCATGGGCCGACCTTAGCGGCGATCATCAGGCACGGCTTTCGTTTCACTGACGGGTTTGGGACGAGCATTCCAACCCTGCACATCTTACCCCGTGGTTCTTCCTTCAGGATGTTGCCGGTGGACCACAGCTCCTGCAAAAGATGGCGGAGCTGCCAGTGCCCCATGCACCCCATGCGCCCCATCGGGCCTCGCACAGAGAGTATCACAGAGGTTAAGAAGTAGGGCTGGTCAGGTGTTAGCCGAATTTCCCAGGCCATTGTTGGTTCCGTTCCTGCAGCCTCAAAGCTTGGCCATTCCCGTCAGTGTCAAGGCCCTTGCCTTTGCAATTCTCCTGACTCTTCTTGTCCTGCGTTCGAAGCACACTTTGAGAGGCACGAGTACTGAAAATGGCAGCTCTCTACGTGGCTGCCCCAATGAGGTGGTAGGGAATGCGCTTTCGCTTCGATGAATCTACTCTAGACAGTCCAAGCGGTGCCTCACGGTCCTGGCCACATGGGTAGTTCTCTAAATCAGGGTCCCTTCTTGGGTCGTTTGCATAAGGGTGCCGTACTATTTTTGGGACCTAACAGTGGAACCCAGTTTAGAGAACTACGCATGTGCAGTACCGACTCAGGACTTGCCCTTAGCAATGCGACTTCTGGATGAAGAGCTGCTTTCACGTGCTCGACACAGCGTGCTCCCTAGAAACATCGGCAGCAGATGTCGTAGCTCTTCCTCCCTGGTTCCCAGGCCTTTCAGCGCAGCGGGCTTGGATTGGGGATGTGGAGAGGCGAAAGAAAGCTTGGAAGCTGAAGGGCTCGGGGCATCGGGGCATGACGTACGGTTCGAAATGAACCATTTCTTTTGGCCCTCCGAGGTCTCCATCTTCATCAGCTCGACTAGACGTGCTCGTTGGCATGTTGTTTCGGTTTAGATTCGTGGTTCAGTAAACAGTTAGTCTGAGAATGGCAACTCTACAGGCACTGGACCCGAAGCTTCCGTGCCAGGAGCTGACTGAGAAGATCCGCTCGGAGCTGATCAGCAACGCTGAGGAAGAGGCTGCTCCGATTGTGGCAGGTGCGGAGCTCGGAAGCCTCCACGTCCAGAAGCCCAGAAAAATCTGAGCAAAATCCGCGTCCACAACGCCTCGGCAGGTCATCCTGGAGTTCATGGCCTTGCAGCTTGGCCTCTGAACTGTCCCAAAAAAAGCCTCCCGACGCTGAAAGCCTCTGCACCTTGGCCGCAGGCTTTCGGTGTCCCTGCCTCTGCATGAGGAGCCCCGGGGCAGGGATATTTGGCTGCAGTGCCTGCACGCGAGAGAGCACGCCGCCTCCTCTGCCAGGTGAATCTCGAGGGCGTTAATGTCGAGGAGGCGTCTCCTTTAGCTCGTTGATAGTGTAAATTCTTCGCTTGCTTTTTCGGGAGCCGGCAATGTAAGACTCGGGTGTCGTACAGTTCTGCAGTCTGCACGCAGAGGGGATGTTTGGTTGGCCCCCATCCAAGCAGGCTCCAAAAGCAAGTCGGAATCGAAGGTCGAGAATTGAAGACTTCTCCAGAGATTTCTCAATGGCGGGCACTTTCGGCAGACTCCCGAAGGCACCAAATATTCAGCAACTAAACGTGAGTTCTGGTCGATGTGATGCTGCAAGAACATGTTCCGAACATCTGGGCAGCTCTGCCACGGCGAAGACCCGCCGGACCCTGGCATCAACACTAAGTTGGGTACATCGAAGTTTCAGAAGGGCATTGCCGAGACGCGAGTTCATACTTAGCTCCAAGTAGTGGGTCCGTGGCCCTGCCCTTAGTCACCGGTTCCTTGCCGTTCCTGCAGCAGAAGACAAGTGTCCGGAATTTGCACGCATGCTCGGCCAAGCTGTGCATAAAATGGTTTGCATCCTCTTAGAAGGAGCAACCTGCCCAAGAAGCGCACATTCGTCTCATTCGGATCTCCCCAAGTTCTTTGAAGGCTAGAGTGGGTGCCTTGGGCAGCTGCTCCCGGAATTGAATTGCATTCGACTCGCTTCGGCGATTTGCTCAATATGCAATGAATTGGCGAGCCTTCGGTCGAGAGCTTGATGGCGGAATCGGCAAAGGCTGAAGCCATCCAATGCCTGAAGCACCTGAGATGGGAAAGATTAGTAAGCTGTCGCACTTTGGGCACGGGTGGCTCTCGAACCCGCCATCAGAGCACCGGTGCGCACGTAGAGCGAGGAGGCAAACAGCTGCTGCACCTGAACATACCTGAACATGCGAGCATAACATCCTAGGAGTCTTGACGTGCTATGCAGATGGCCCCATACTTATGTAACGTACAGAATCAATTGTGATCTTCGGACCAGCTGTTGCAGTGCTACGTTCTGTGTCGCATTACAAGTGCCTTAATGCGTGAAAAAGGATGCATCGCCTGGAGTCGTGATAATCCCACAACCTTTCTGCTTATCGTTTGTTTCTACGAAAGTCGTGTATCACCAGCTTCTCAGACAAAGACAGCCTTGTGGGGACCGGAACGTCGCCGCTCCCTCTGCAGGCGCAGGGATGCTAGAGCAAACACTCCGCGACTAAGTCCTGAAGTCCCAGACGTGACAACCACCAAAGAGCAGGATAGCAGATGATCTGGCTCAGAGCCCTCATGGCGAAAGCCTCGCTGCCTAACTGAACGACCCCGTGCTGTGCATTATCCAGTTCATGCCATGACAAGCCGCCGTGCGTTCGAAAGGATCATGTGCAGCCGAAATGACTGAACATTGCATGCTGGAAGCTCTGCCGTGGGAGGTGGGAGGCGTTGTGTGGTGGAGGGGCAGGAAAACGATCGGCGCTCTGCCACGGCCACAAATCGGTAGGCCGAGCGCCCCTGCAATTGTCGCTTCAACAGGCTCGTCTTGCGGGCCCGGGCTCTGACGATTTTAACACCGCCCTTCATTGCCCTGGCACTGCCTGCTTGTGATGCCAAGTGTCGAAACGACAGTGCGTGACCACAACCATGACGGGCTGTCAAGCACCGCTTCGGCATGCGAACCGAAGAAAAGGCTTATGACCAAGCGACCAGGCCGTAACCATGTATCTTGATACGAAAGCAGAGTGTGCATTCATGTTGAGGCTGAGCATCGTGCATTGAGTGGTTGGCCACGCGGACGGCTCGCACTTTTGAATCTGAATCTGCCTGCCACGGTGCTCGGGCCGTGCAAGTAGTCTAAGTGCACAGCAACCCGCGAAGAACACGGCATTTGAGGTTCCCCGTGTGGGCCAATCAATGGCAGGGGCTTTCGCGACCGCAGCCTGGGGCTGCAATGGGCTGCAGGTGGCATAGAGAATCCAGTCAGGAAACGAGACTCACAGTTGCCTAGACGGGCACAAGTGCTTGCTTCGTTCCGCGTGGCCGTCCTGGCTGAAGGCCAGTTCGTGTTGCAGCAGCGGCTCGCTCCCATCCCCATGACGTCCGCAGGCTTGCGATTGGACGTTTCTCGGCGACGTTTGGAGGTCCGGAACGTTGCTGCGTCTGAGAGCCTTAGGGGCAGACCGCCTACCCCAAACTCATGCTAGGCGGGGCTCGCCCCGAAAGGAAGCCCCACCCATTGGCGGCACTTGCCGGACGATGGCGACGCCGGGCTTCGCACCGCCACAAACGCCCGTCGCAGGGCGGCTGCCCCGCGATGTCGCCCCGCTGCCTTAGCAGCAGACTCGCAATTCATTCTTGGCGCATCTTGGCTCACATCCCGTTGTTGCAGGCGGAAGCCGAGAACTTCAATAATGAGCTTGCAGCGCTACTTCACGTAGCTGAGCCAGTGGCGCCAACTGAAATAGCGCGACCTCTACTCGCCGTTTCCGTCATTGGCCGTTTGCCGAGCCCACGACGCGCGGTTCAGCGTTGCAGCTGGGAACCTCAAGCTCACCGGCAGCACTGACAGCGCTGCTTGGCGCACCCTTGCCATTTCGGCAGCCCTTACAGTAGAGCATTCGTTCCATTACTGCATTGGCAGACACCCTGAAGTGCTTCCGCACGGACGGCTGTAGCCGGGGTCTCATCACTTCAACCGGATCTACAGAAAAGTGTATCAAGCTCTCTCACACAGGTATGGAATCGATGCTGTTGCCGAATCCTTCGCAAATCTTTTGCGAACACATCGCAATCACATGCAGTTCCATGGACTCTTGCTGTGTAACACACTTGCGTGTGTAGGAACAGGCCCTAGCGTTCGACTGCCGAAGCATCGGCACGAACGCCTTTTAAGCATTCTCCCTACTCCCCCTTGTCTTTTCGCCTCTCCTCGTGATCGTGGCTTCCGCCGGATCTTCGTCGCCGGGTGCCCTTCCTGAGGGGGAGAGGCCAGGCAGCTCACGTCGGGCGCCTAGGCACATCGAGCCGGCCGAGAATGCAGGTAACTCCGCGCCGCCAGCCTTGGGCGCCCTATACTCGAGCTCGAGCCGACTGATGATGAAGACGCCGCCGGGCAGCCCACGCTGGGCGTTGCTCCTGGCAACTTCCTGCCCGCCTTCGACCTCCACGACGTGGCGGTGCAAACGGAAGGGGTGATCTTCATCCAGAGTTTCGTCGCCGACACGACGCTGGAGGCGTTGGCTGCCGCCATTCGGGCCTTTTCTCCGGGCGATCGTGAACCGCTGGACGTGGCCTATGGGGTCGTCACAGAGCAGCCCCCTGGTGGATGTCGCCTCGACCTCGGCTTGCATTCACGACGGCCGCACCTTCGAAGGGGGAGAAACGGGCGAAAAGGACAGCCCAACTCCAAGTGGAACGCCCGCCAATACGACCACCAGTGGGACCATTGGGCGGCTGGGAGTTTGGCCACGATTCGTGGTGCTCTTCGGCAGGAAAATTGGCGCACAGGATTGGTCGGCAGGAAAGGACCAAGGTGGTCAGTGGCGCTAAGGACACGCGCGGAGGCGTCCGTGCCCGACCCACCAGACCGCGACTCACGCCCAATCGCCCTACCGGGCGGTCCATCATCGTGCTGTCCGCCTTTGACGGAGCTGGTCAGGGAAGCACGCCATCGTCATCTCAGGATTTTCTCGCATCGCTTGGGGCGCGGGCCACCATGGCGATCGGGGCAATTTTTCGCGGCCCGACCACAAGTTCGTTTTTTTTCAAACGAGAACGATGGGGTCCAGCGAGTTCGCTTGCCCCGCGAACTTCGGGAGGGCGCCCCTGGGGTGGAACCGCCTGTGCCTGCCTGGTGCCAGGCCCTGCGCGGACTCCTTCGACTTGTTCCCGCAAGCTCTTGCCCTGCGCCACGACGCCCGCCCCCAACTGAGGAGGGGCGTCACCGGGGCGTCCAAAACCGCTGCACATGGGCTCCGGGACCACCGAGGCATACTCCGCCTGCCCACTCCTGAAATCAAGTGTGCCGAGTCTGCCACCACAATCTCCCCTTCAGGACGCTGCTGCGCCCACAGCTGTACGTCAGCAAAGTGATGCGCCGCTTCCTCCACCCGCAGCATCTGCAGGGGGCGGTGTAGGAGCCTCGTAGCGACCCGCCAGCCGCTAGAACGTCGGCCGCAGGCAGCAAAACAAAGTCGCGCTCCACCAGCCCGTCAACTTGAACCCCTCCAAGCACGAGCGTCACCTGACGCATGCACCAGCGCTGTCGGCCATGGCATGGAAGCGAAGGCTCTCAAGGTCGGTTGAAAGTTAAGGGCTCAAGGAGCAGTTCAAGAGAGGACAACAGCAGACAACACACGGGGGCCCCTTAAAGGTTCACTGCACGATTGTCACTGTCAAGACTTGAGCCACAGTTTTTTGAGCTGACGACCGAGCTCGCGGGCCCGGAACGGCACGCAGCGGATGGTGCGCTCGAGCGGCAGCGCCAAAAAGTGCGAGCAACAACGCAAACTGCGAGCAGCAGCCAGGCACTCTGCAAATCCGGAATCGGGGAAGCTCACTGTGGAGTTTCCCTCGACACAACCTCGCCGAGCGCGGCGACCGCGGGCGCCTCAGGCCATATATTGGTTGGAACGAGCCGCGAATCTTTCTTTTCTCCAAAGCTTGCGAACGTCGCGAAAGCTGCAGCGGCAGCGCTGCAGGCGGCCGAGCCCACTCGGCGAGTGAAGTCGAGCACGTGTGTGGCAGGGCTCTCCTCCATCCAACCCCTGCAACGAAGCTGCTGGCCGCTGGCTTCAGCATGCCAAGCTGGCAACAGCAAGCTGACAAGGCCGCAGAACTTGGAGGCGGTAGCGAAGTGTTGTTCGGAACGGGCCGTCGCGGGTTCAGGGGAGGTGCAGTGTTTTGTGGCTTTCCGTGACGTTCCTCACAGACAACCAGTTCAACGAAGCGCTAGTCAGGAAGGCGATGACGAGTTCCCTTCCACGCGAATCCGCATGGAGCCGGCAGAAGAGCTATTATCTGCCAACGGATCCGTCGAGACTTGACTTAACTAGCGGACGATCTCACCAACGAGATATTTGTTAGCTTGGACTAGCTGCTTTGAAGAGGTAAGAATGTGACCGAAGGCTTCGCGGTTCTCGAAAGGGACACTAGGTGACTCGGAAAACTAGGGGCCTGGTAGCCCTTCGCGCTTCGATTTCACCGGTGCGTGGACGCGGGTGACGGCGAGACATCAATGGCAAACCTGAATCGCCGTTGCGCTATCTTCCACTCAAAATGTAGAAATTGTACAACCGTGTGGGACACCCAGGGTGTGGCAAGCAGTCTGCGACTAACCACATGAATCGCACTGGAACCACTTGAATTGTGTTACCGCAGATTCGCCTGTGGCATTAAACCACCTGAACTGTAGCTCACCTGGGTTCAGAAGCACGC